GAAGAGGTGGCACGTTTGCGCCTACGAGCAGGCAACCGGCCCGACATATGTGTAGGCAGAGGTGTCCTAGTTCAAGGGGCACTGTTTTCGGTAAGTTTGGGTATTCTGGCCGATTTTGCATTTTAGTATCAAGAGCACATAATATGCGAAGGGGTGGCACGTGGAATACATGGTACGTACAATATTTTTGCAAATAGCCCCGCTTAAAAGTTAAACAAAGTGGCAATTTAGAAGTTCGAAACGGAGGTAATTTTTCCGATTTTATCACATTTTGTCGAACTTCTGGGTTGCTACTTTGTTGTACTTTTGAGCGCTGCAACTTTGTTGAAGTTTTGAGTTGAGCAAAATTGTCACGGAATGGAAAGAAGTGATTAGGAACTATCGGGAGACGTTCGGTGGTGTAAGGGGATGTTAGGATATGTGTAGGGATGTTAATCATGTTAAATAAAAATGATTTCTTTTAATATGTTTTAAAGTACAGGATGCACAATAAAATATATTATTTATTTAATCGATATTGTTGTATCATTTTCACTGTATTTTCGCATATTTCTTTTTCATATAGAATATAGTACAAACTCTAACTATTCTGTACACTAAAAATGAGACTCGCATTATGATTTTGTTAATCATTATTAACGTATGTGACGAATATCAATAAATCATATCTCCATTTTCTTCTATGACAGAATTAAAAGCAAATATAAGAAATATCTGTTTTATTGTAACCATGTGTACACCGTAGTTTTATGATAAATATGTATATTGCTCGTAAGTAGCACTTACTCAGCCTTACAGTTTTTCTATAGTCTTGAAAATGCGACATTCGACGTTTGTAGATGGGAAAATATGCGTTATTCAAAGTGATGCACAGCCTAGAAATGGTTCTAGCCACTTAAACACAGCGTATTCGTAAAATCTTTATAAAAGTACATCTCTTAATCAACAGATGCTTTTCTGTTCCTTTCTTACTTTCATACAACCGAGATGAACGTTTAAACACGACAGAGACAACGTGTTGTTACGCGTGGAAAATTAATTTAACGATTAACAAAAGTTATAACATTCGTAACACGCTACTGCAAGTCATAAGAATTGCACAGTTCCAAAGACAAATGCACAGTTCCAAAGAACGTTTACAAAATAAATTATCTATCTCTTCGTATTAACACGTATCAAGAAACAATATACACTGACTGTAATCATTGATAATTTTCATACAGTTATCTTAGTTCTGTAATATTGTCATTCTTATTTATAGTAGCATTATCTCTTCATGATATTTAGTCATTCGTTTCTCAAGAAAAAGATAATTATTTTCGTTCAGTCTTCGAACTGAGCCTTGACAAAAATTCCATTGCCTGATTGTCTCCTTTTCTCTGTTCCAATGCTTGAATTATATCAGTACCTAAACATGAAATATAAAAAAAAAAAAGAATAAATTAGTATAAAGAAACAATGTGATTAAAAGAGGTCAAGATTGAAACACACTTCTTTTTGTTGGACGTGAAAGCTTCAGATGAATTTGGCTGAGAGATTCTATCCCTTGGTCCGACACCATCTCAGTAATTTCACTGAATGGTAGAAAGGCTTCAGCTAAGAATCTTGATTTGAAGAAGTCCTTGTACTTCAACTCGAACGCTATTATTGCGTCCACGGTTGTTCTCTGTTCCGTATTCAAAGGACTGCAATCATTCGATATTGATCACACTATGCTAATACAAAGAATTATGAAAATTCGTGGAATGATTCACTTACATGTTGAAGATTTCGTCGAAGAGAGGGTACAAGTTCTCCTTCTGCACGTGAGTCTTTGGCAGTTTCACATCGACGAACTTCTCCTCAGGAAGTAATCTCACTTTAACGTAAGAGTCGCACGTGCCTGGAAAATAGAAACGTTCAGATTTCAGGATGTCCTTCTGGCACACCTAAGGACCCCAATATGGACTCATGCACAGTGAAAGTAACTATCAATGTTGTCGATGGGTCTCCTATCTACAAGGTTCCACGTTTATCATCTGTACTTTTAGCAAATGACTAGAAAAATCTATCTCGAGACACGACAAATTCAATTCTCGTTAGTAGACTGCAGATTTTTATGCATTTATAAGAAATTTGAATGTACAAGAAACTACAAATACGCACAGTATGGAATAATATAAAAAGATATTGAAAGAGAAGTGATATTATACTATTTGTAGAGTAAAATAAATTCCTATCTGGGTTCAAAGATTTGATTTTGCATAAAAATCTTCAGACTATTTATTAGTATTACCATTTGTAACTTATCGAGGAACCCTAGAAAGGTTTGCATCAGTGACAAGCTTCAAGTTTTTAAGGTAAATCGTCATGTACTCTAGGTACTCGTACAGTGTCTAGCTACATCATAACGTGACAGAGACGCCGATTAAGGCTGTGACATGCAAGTCTGAGACTCTGAATTACAAGGGCAGGCAATTTTAATGAGAAACTCTAATTGGAACAGTGATGAGGAAGAGCGTGTCTTTACATCCACGTTTACATACTTGTCTTTGTTTCTTTCAGTCTTTGTTTAGATTTTGTATGAAGATTGCGCTTGAGAGTAGACATCTTGCCTATAAAATCGCCTACAAAATCGAAAGAAAACGTCATTCTCCATGTCGCGGGCTCGATTCCGTCGAGGAATGAAAGGGCCAATGAAAAAGTAAAAAGGCTTTAGTTCGAAGCTGCGATCGAGCAGCTTCGAAATCTGGATTAAGACCTAGACCTCTTAGAAAAATTGCGTTTTGTGATCCCTTGCTTACCGTTGCTGTCAGCTGGCCGCAGCTTCCTCGCGTTGAGGATCTGGATGTTCAACGAGTTGTCAACAAACTGCGCCCTGACAGTGATTTGTCCGTATTCGGACTCCTCTATCTCTTTCTGCTCTTTTATGCGTTCCTGGTGGTAACGATGTATCAGCTTCGCAGTTTCCAGTCCGTGTAGTTCCAGGAGATACTCGATCTTCTCCAAGACCTTCACGTTGGAGGATTCGTCAACTCCAAGGTTGAAGAATCTTACGAGAGTGTGAAGAGTGCGGTGGAGATTCGAGTAAAAGGATGGCGGTCTTCTTTTCTACGAACGGAAGGGTCTTTGTTATTACAAGTCACATGTAAGTATCATTGTGCAGAGGTTTGTAGATTTAGGATCCAAGTACCTCCAAGTTATCATTGACTAATTTGTACAAGGTATCAGACATGATCTCCCAAATCACAAGGAGGACCCTCTCGAAGTTGTCCTCGTTGAGGTTGTCGTGTAAGGTGGTCAAATTGCTATCTAGGTATTGCAAGAGGCGATCCATAGCGTTGCTGGTGGTGTCTATCAATTCTGCGCCCTCCATGAGATACCTGAATCCCAATGGAGACACTCATGCAACGACTACAGCCTTGATAAATACATTATCACGTATTAGACTGCGAATTTTTATGCATTTATAAGAAACTTTGATGTGAAACAAGCTACAAGATTCACGCAATATACAGTAATGTAAGAAAATATTAAAAATAATTATTTGCAGAATAAAATAAATTCCTATTTAGGTTTTGTAGGCATGTTTATAAAGATTTCATTCTGCATAAAGATTCGCAGTATAATAATAAGTAAGTGAACATAGAGCTACCTGTTCATAGCAGGGGCCATTTTGCTAGCAACGATCTGCAACAACTCGATGATCTTGTTCTTGACAGTATCAGTAGCATTGTCTATGATTAGCTGAAGTGTCTGTCTGCAGCGATCCGCTTCCTCGTGGGTCTTCTTCTCAGCCAACGAGTCCACGATGTCTTGGAGCCCTAAGTCGTGGGCCAGTGGCCCTATCGACGTCCTGATGTAGTCGATATTGTTGATAGCGAAACACCAGGCATTGGACACGTAGAATTTTCTCTCGTACACGCTGCTCTCGGACAGCTGCTCCAATTCTGTGGTCAGTTCCGCCTTCTTTGCCATCTTGTCAGCGTACGCCATCGAACACTTGCAGATGTCCTTGTTTAGGAAAGTAAATTTTTATTTTGGAATAGCTGCGCACCAAGGTTCCATCGTGATTATATTTAAAACGAAGAGAAAGGAGCATCGAGTGAGCCCTGTCCCTGATTTTCATCACGAGAAAAAGGAAACCATTGCCAACTCACGTCTATAATTTTGCCAATGAAAGTGTAGGAACCCTCTACGTCGGGCCAGGAGAGCTGCGACCAGAACACTTTGATTTGGTAGAATATCGTCAAAGTGTCTACCGCGCTGGAGCTGTATTGAACGCTATTGTCAACCGCCTGCAGCGTGTCGAACTCCACGGCTCTGTCTATACGTTTCAGGGCCTTGTAGACGGCTATGTCGAGCCAGTGGGCCACGCCAGCTCTAAACCACTCATAGTAACTCTGAATCTTCATGGTTTCCAGTTGCCACTCGGCGCACAACACTCGACCCAAGCTGAAAAGGATACGTTGAGACGAACGATAGATTCGTAGTGTAGACATCCTACAACGATACTTGAAGCTAACTTACACAGCGTATCTCTGCAACGAAAGATAGAGCTCGAACAGCGTCGTCCCAAGACTCAGTTCAACGTCCATGTCGTTGATCTCGATCCTCTTCAACCGACCACAGACGTCTTCGGTGATGATCATGCACATATCGCTGATGATCTTCTCGTACCTCACGTAAAGTGTCCTGGCGTAGGGAAAGTTGATCCGTCTGCGATTGGAACGTCACGATGGGTCAAACATAAGCAGTTTATGATGACTAGATTGCTATCGAATCATCTGTGAAGTTTCTTACCTGATGAACAGCTTGTCATAGTTATCGATGGCGTTCTGTAGGTCTGCTCGTATGAGCTGGATCATTTTTATGTGGTACTTCAGGGCGTCCTCGTCGGTATCGGATTCCGGGGAGTTGTGGTTGACTATGTGCTCGAACCTAAGATGAAGAATGAACCATGAAGTGTCTGAGTGAAAAATACTTCATATTTTTAAATAAAAACGCGTACCATTCCGCTCCACCCTGTTCGACCGTGTACTCTAAAGCTTGAAGAATGCTTGGCCTGTCATCCGGGTCTGGGAACCAAGGGTACATCTTCGTAGGAAACAGGTTTATCTCTTCTGGCACGTTAAGGCACGATATAGACGACAATATTCTGAAACAGAACGTTCCTATTAATTCAGATTATACTTCCAGCGGTCTCGCAACTTCCACATCCCATTCTCCGCCCATTAAGATGAATAAATCGTTTAGTAGACAAGTATTCACCCTAAAATCGCGGCCAATTGCGTCATGGTGTTCTTATCCCCGGGTGTCAGCCTCCTGATCTTGCGTAAACTGTTCAGACAAGAGTACAGGATCTTCTTCGTGGCGTCCCAGAAGAGTCTGGCCTCGTCCAAGGAGAACAGATCGTTCTCCATAGGTCTGAGGAGGTCCATCATCAGCTTGTTGAACACGATGAAGTTCAGAGGATGCTCTTGGTGGATCCTCGCGTACTCGACCCACTGCGCGAGCGTGACGTTCCTGGCCAGCAAGCCTCGTTGGGCGCTGTGCTGAAGAAGCAGGACCTCCGCTGCCGCCGACCATCGCCCGCACCAACAGTACTTCTCTATCTTCTCTGTCTCTATCTCGTGCAACAGCAGCACCCTGATCAGGTGTCTGTGCTCTTGGGCTGCCACCTGCGTGTTGTGCTCCGCGCTGAACGCCAGCCTCAGCTTCACGACCCCTCGTCGCTTCGACTTGTTCTTCTTCTCCAACGAGTACCACATTGTGTGCCCTGTGGTGGGTATGTCCTGGAATTGTTTGCGTAATTACAGATCAAGAGAGGGTCACGCTACTGTTGAGTACTGTAAAAAATGGTATTCATTTTTCGAAGCTTTGGTTTTGGGGGACTGAGTCTGAAGTGGGTCTTTAAAAGTAGAAAAGGGACCACAGAAAAACTGGATCAGGAATAGACGAATAAGGGGTGCATAGAGGTCGAAATGCTTTCTAATCTGTAGCTATGCATTTAAACTCGAGACCTTTCAATGCATGGCGAAACTTTATAAATTTTGATAGTTAATATTGTAAAAACTAAGGCTCAATGGCGCAAAAGCTTCGAGGGTTATGATGTTTGGTATCTATACATAGAATAAACGTCATGTGATATTCTCTAATGGGATGCTAAGGTGCTACGTCTTGAAAAAGAAGCGAGTTGCTGTTCTCAGAAGGTGGTTTCTAAAGGGAGATGCGCAGAGGCGACACTGGCGCCGCCTGGGTCGCGCATACGGGACTACAGAGAGTGTTGCCTAACGGTAGGCGCACCAGGATGAGTAGTGAGCTGTATCATGCTACAGTATGCTGTGTATATACCATGTATTATGCAGTATTATGGTGTATTACACTGTAATATTCTGTATTATTCTGTAATATGCTGTAATATACTGTGATGTGCTGTGTTATGTGGTGTATTATGCTGTATTATGCAGTAATATTCTATTTTATGCACAATTCAGTATAACACGGCATAATAAATGGTATCACAGCATAACGGAGCATGCGTTAATTATTTCATTCTTTACCTTCAAAGGTATACGACATCGTCCGATGAATTCATTATCATGGCTTCCAGTGGTGGCAGTAACCGCGATCTCCTTGGCGAGCTTCACCAATCCTCGAACACCCTTCACATCCTTGACCTTGCTCATCTTCTCAGGAACCGTTTCCGCAGCGTCGAAGTCCCTGGAGAGGACGAAGGACGTTCAAAAGCTTGGACTAAGAAATTATTATCTCTGCTTCGGACTTACCAGACTTCTAGGAAAAGTACATCGTTTTCGGGATCCTCTAGAGGCCTGAAACGGAGGGACGATGAGAGACCTTGCTGGCATATAGATAATACAGAGAATCTGAAGCTCGACTCACAGTTCGAAGTGTTCCTCCCACACTGGGCAGAGGGTGGCCGTTTTCACGGCAGTGTTGTACCTTCTGGTAGGGGCTGACTCGAGATAGAGGGCGCAGAAGGGATCGCTCTTGCCGTTGGAGTCCTTCGACACTAATTCCTTGGCTTCGATCACCTCTACGTTCAAGTGCATCTCTGGGGGCTGTTGTGTAGGGATGATTATTAATTTAATTTAGAAGAACTTCGTTAATAGACATGGGTACGAACACTTATAAGAATGATTGTATGTGTCACAGAGTGTCACAGACTCACCTCGAGGTTCCTAGTCTCTTCCAGGACCCTCTCATGCGTCTCGTTGTCCACCTTGAACGCATTCTGGAGGTGATTCAACAACACCTCCTGGCCACACTCGGTGGAGACGTCGTAACCGATTTGATGTTGGGTCATGTACACTAGAGCAGCATAGAGCTCCTCAATCTGTTGGAGGAAATTTGTCTGTGTGTTTGTGATTTCATTATAACTCCTGTTATTTTTAATCAATCCTGATAAAATTTTTGTCAGCTGACCTTTATGCTCTAACAGAAAATATAGCTCAATTGGTTTGCAAAAATATTAGCTATAGCTTTCTGTGTGTTTGTGATTTCATTATAACTCCTGCTATTTTTAATAAAACCCGATGAAATTTTGTTCAGCTGCTCTTTATGCTCCAACAGAAAGTATAGCCCACTTGGTTTGCAAAAATATTAGTTGTAGATGTCATTAAATATCATCGAAAAATATTAACATAATGGGAAACACATTTCTTTCTCGAATTGTTTTTGAGGGAATCCGTGAATTGAAAAAAACTGTCAGTGATTTCCTGTTAAAATAATCGCCATGAACATTTCCAAATGTGTCATGGATAAGGCCGAGGTTTATTTGTGGTAATTCGTAATGGGATTGTTGATAAGCGCAATCTGATTGCGTCATTTGTAATTGTAGCATCTGCTGTTAATAACAGGCTGACAGCATACAGGGTGGTCCAGTAGAAATTGACAATTCTATTTGATCTAAGTCACTTTGGGTTGGGGTGTGAACAAAATTGTCTAAAATGCGTCTGTTTACATTCAGATCGTATCTGAAGTATATTATTATAAGTTCGGGTGTTAATTATGGATTAGTTCATTAGTGTTTCGACTTTCTGCTCGCTGTGTATATATCGCGGAGCATCGAAGTCATAATCTATTCAGTAAATTACATCGTAACAGGAGCTGGTAATAATCGTTGGTAATAATTGGATCCCGACGGACCTTTCGCATCACCCAATGCAATAAGATTTTCGACGTACAATACTCATGGTTCAAAGGTCTTCGTGTAACACGTGTCCTAATCGAGTAAATAATTACGAAGAGGAACACGGGTGGGATAATCTTGTTTACGTTTTCGTGACGAGCTATTTAAAGAAAGCATTGTTTCGGAGGACGCGTGTCTTTTGAGATTTGCTTTGAAAGCACGTTTACTTCGCAATTATTTGTTTCGACGAGCAATAAATATTTTTAGAGAAAAGTATGGTGAATTTATTTATCGAAGGTTTATGACGATTGAGGAGTACGTCCTCGCGTGGTAGGGGTTAATCGAGTGCTATGAGAGAGCTCGACTTCCAGGTCAGCGATTTACATTTGTATAATTAATTACAGGAAAGCAGCGACTATAGTAGTTGGCATCATACCTCGTTTTTCATATTGTGTGTTTGTGATTTATTTCCAACAATTTTTGTCCAAGAACGAGGTAGATGGAAACATAAACAATGGTGGAGGATGATGTTATCAATATTCGAGATATTGCTGTATGCATACGTGTTTGGCTCATTTATATCTCAGAAGTGGCTCAACACCCTGAACTTTGATATGGTGACTACTGTACATGATTCATCGATGTCACACTGCTTTTGAAAAAATTAGAGGAAGGAGCCTTTGATAAACACTGTTGTGTACTTTTAAGGGAGAAGGCTTTAATATAAGATGTTGCATATTTTTACAATGAAACTTTTGCTAATAATATCCTCAAATTAACTCGCAAAATCGACTCACCGTCATGGCCTGCAGCATAGTGTTTATCCTGCGCTCGACCTCCGCTTTGGGCACCCCGCGGAAAGTGTTCCTGCCCCTATTGAGGGTGGCTACGCCCACGAGTGGACTCGTGCTCACCATTTTCAATTTATCGACGCTCTTCTTTCATTTCACTAACGTCCCGCGATCACTTTCGAAACACCGCGCACCTGTTCCAAGTCCCGAAACACGTCTGGTTCTTCGACTTGTTACGCGAAGATCACTTTCAATGGAAGTTAGGTGGTTTCACGTAAAACTACCTCGAGAACTCGAGGGATCTAGAGCAGCGCGACAATGACCGGCGGACGCATCGCGCAGAAAAAGGAGCAGCTAGTTTAGAACAATGACGTTCACGCAGCAGCACTCGCGGCTTCGATCGGAAGAACCCGAGATCTTCCACTGCCTGACACTTCCGCCCTAGCGCTGGAACAACAGACGAGGCGCACAGGGCGCTAAGCCATGGAACGCGCCGTATCTCGCTTACCGTTGCGTTTACGATAAAAACGCATAGGACAGAAATCATTGAAAATCAAATTTGCCAACTATTTTGTTCTATGCAGATTTTCGATAGATTCGATGGTAACCGAGATATCGACCGATACTTTCTTCTGGCTGCCCCAAAATGATACTGTGACCGATCGTTGCCTTTGCAAGAGTCAAAATTTGTTAAAATTTTGGAAATTCATAGTTTATAATATGTACTTTTTGGTAGTAAGTAAACACTGCGTTTAAAAATAAATGTTCGAAAGTTACCTTGCCTTTTCGTCACTTTGGGGCAACCCCATATCCTTCTCTTTGATAATAGAAACTCTGGAGTCCTAAACCCTCATCTATCGGAAGATTTGATAGTCGATGCTCACTAGGAACGATCAATAATGCGAACGCGGTTCGAGAGACGCTACAGGCGGTCTGGTCGAAAAAATGACATCGCCAAACACACAACACGCTCTTTGCTGATCGAAGTTGAACTTCCACGGCGACTGCGACCTCTCTTATCAATGCTACGCACACTTATTCAGTCGTCCGTATGCATAATTGAACAAGAGTGAACCTGCGATCGGAGCGACACGCGGTGATCGTGGGAATGATGCTTGAACTCCAAATAAAGTAGCCTTTTCTCGATCGAAAATCATTCGGGAACAATTTCAAGCAATTTGTCATTCCTGTAACTATTTTTTATATTTTCGAGGACCATCCCCAGTACCATCTTCAGGATCATCTTTCGCGCCGCCATCTTGAATCTAGCGGTGAGAGCTCTCACAGTTCGTAACCATCGTTCGAAACGCTATTCTCGCGGTTCTCGAATCGAATTCACGCGTGTCTAATTCGAGCCTGACCTTGGAATATCTAAAATCCACTTTTTCCTCGATTCGTGGTTACGCAAGCCACTTTGCGATTCGTTTCTGATCTTCGTTTACCAGCCGAAACGTTTAACGTTTAACGCTCTTTTTTTAGCGTCCTCGAACGCTCGGTTCGAAAGAACGAGAAGAACGCGGCGACGTCTGATCGAAATAGTTGGTTAGACGCCACTTGCTGCGAAAATGTAGTTCATTGAGAAACATCGAAACTAAAGATTTCTTGGGAGATGAATTAAGATAACTGGGTCGAGCGAAGAGCGATCGTTTGTCCGCGAACTCGTGTCTTGCGGATGAGATAAATGCACTGATAAATCGATTCCGGAGGATTCCGGAATGAAACTGATAAGAGCATGTAGCGCGAGATGGGAGAACGAAAATCAGTTTGGATCAGGGGGTCACTGGCGAACTCGAAAAGTGGGCCATAGACTTCAACGGACTCTGGCAAACGCGGCTGCCAAGTGCAGTTGACTCTGACAATGAGATTCCATTTATTTGTACACATTTCGCTATTTCGAACGGCATTGACCCCTTAATCGACGCTAGAAGGACGAAAACGTCGCACGGGCTACTGAAACGGGGACATTAACGATGCCTTCTTTCGTTATTATATATCCGAAACATTATTTAAAGATGATTTGAACTCAGGTTGCAGCTGGGTCGGAACTAGGGATGACTGGTCGCGATGGGGGCGTGGCTAAATAGGACGGAGGCGTGGTTGGGCCCGATGGGGCGTGGTTAAATTCAACGGAGTCGTAGCTAGATACGATGTGGGCGTGACTAAGGAGACTGGGGGCGTGGCTGGACGCGACGGAGGCGTGGCAGCACAATTACCCGGAGCGGTAGGGATAGTGTCGCGGTGTCCTTGGACGGCCAACAGAGTTGGACGCAACTTAACAAGATCTTCGCGAAATCAACTAAAGTTTTCACGAACTCCATGAGGTTACTTTCGAACACTCTGAAACATAACTGAACCGAGATACGATTTCCTGAAAACCTACACGATCTCAGACCTCAACAGCATCGCAACTCGTTATTATGAAACAGGAATAGCTATTTCCTCCCGCGAGAGTTTCTATAATTAAACCGCTGCTTAACCAGCGACTAAGAAAGCAATTAAATAGAAAAAGATGAGCGTACAATGGCGAGCGAATCTCGAGTGTCTCCGTCCAGCGTCTCGGCTGTGTGCGAGACGAATGACGATGTATTGAGTATCGACTATTGAGAATGACGACGGACTGGCCACGCGGTTAACTCGAGGACCAATGGCGCATGAGAAAACAAGACAATGAATCTGCACAAAGGGAAACTATGCCGTATCCTGTTTGAAGCGACCCACGGGGCAAGTGCAACCACAATGTGTTCGTATGCTCGCGCAATTGTACCCAATGAAAATTGATATACCGGCAATTAGCTCATTGACCGACAAGGCGCGTCGGATGGACGACGGTGTACACGCGTCGCGACGTTCCCCGTCCTTCGCGCGGTGCCCAATTTTCGCGATATTATACAAGCCGTACAGTGATCCAACACCCACCCATTCGTCGCGTACTATTTTATTCGGGGAACGTGGTAATTCTGGGAAAATGAGATATTTCGTGCGCTGGCCAGCGAACTTAAACTCTGCTCGTGTTTTTTTTTTCGAACAATTTTTAATCGTTGTTTATCCCTTTGCTGTCCTATGTCGAGTGGAGCTTGACAGAAACTGTACTGAAATTGAAAATATACAAATCTGGACTGCAGAGGGTTGAATGTGTTCGAACTCTTCTGTCTTCTATAAAGTTTGCGTGTGTTTGAGTTTGTGTGTGTTTGTGTGCGTGTCTTGTGTTTATTAAAATTTAATTGGGAACATATAATTTGGCCAATTTGGAACATTTCATTTTGTGTACGTTTTACACGTATTATTTAGTTTTAATATTATATAGCAATTCTGTAGGTAACAATTGTGTCAAAGTTACTGACTATTTTTGTTAGTTTCTCGACGAGATATTTGTGTTATTATTTAACGAATGGTTACGTTTTTAGATCTAACAGAATTTCTAGGTTAAGTTTCCCACTTTCAAGTGAAGTTTAATGCATTCAACATAGAGCTTGTGTCATCGGTCGACAAAATCATGCCGTGTTAAATTAACACGAAAAAAAAGATGGACTGATTGGGACACGCGATTAGTGTCGAATTAAACGCAAAATTTTCAACAGTTTACGAAATCGTACCTCCCTGGCGGAATCATTGGCGATAAGTTTCGAAGATAACTGTTCCCCGTTTATACTAACAAAGCAATTAAAAAAGACGAATCGATAGTTCAACGTAATCAGTCATACACTGACTCCGCTCTGACATCATAGTTCAGCAATTAGAGTATTTACATTTAGTCTTTCGGAATCGTGCAGAGTATCTCGTCGAATAATTACGGTCGCAGATAAATTTTAACAACATGATGAATAATAGTAATATCGTTCTCCTTCCTTTAAATAAATTCCTTTAATTCTCGAGGATCATAGTTCGCGGAGAGTGTGAAATCATTTTCTCTTTAGCGTCTCGATTCAGAGTGTAACTATGCCGCTGACAGTTTGCCAGTTTTTGATGATACGGTACAGAAGGAGATTGCCCAACCCAGTTTTCTCGGTAGGTTTGATTTATTTTTATTACCGCTCTGACGAGTGCTGCTAGCGAGGATCTGCGTCTCAACAACCAGCGAATAAGACGCATTAAAAAAAAAAAAAAAAGTAAGACTCCAATAGAACCTCCAGTAATCCGTTCCAAGTTACGTTATTCGAACCGCGTCTCATAAGAGGGTCCCACGAATTTTTTCCAAGTACAATAAATAATTCCGATGCAAGTTGTAAAATAAAAATTTGTCCTCACTTGCACGGGTCAAAGTATTATTCAAAGTCCGGAGTCTACTGTTATCAAAAAATCAGTTTATATATATCAGTTCGGGTACTGGAGGGTTTGAGGTTAGGTCTGGGGTTAAGTCTGAGGTTAAGTCTGTGGTTAAGTCTGGAGTTAGGTTCGACTCTTCTGCACGCCTTCTGATTTCCAGTACCTTTAATACTCCTGTATCACCTAAGAAGCTACTACTAACCTGCAAGAACAGAGACCTAACCTATCTACAACGTTTGTTTTACATCTTATCTTCAATAAACTACCACAGCGAGGCCAATCGGTCTAAATTTTATCTTTACATTGTTAAGTAACCCTCAACTACCACTTAGTGTGTCTTGAGCCCTAGCATACCCCATCTAAGGAGTCATTACCAGATCTTGGACTCCCTTACCCAATTGTGACATTCCTTCAACACCATATCCTTGAGAAACTATCACAGTAGGTCCACCACTATCTAAACTCTCCCTTCACACTGTTAAGTAACCCTCAACAACCTCTTGAAGCATCTCAAACCCTCGAGCACTCCACCTAAGGAGCTATTACCAGCCTCAGCTTTTTCCAACTCTCACAAACTGAGGCTTCTGGACACCTTTACCCAACTGCAACGATCCATCGACACCACATCCTCAACAAACTACCCCTAACTCCCACTTGAAGCATCTCAAACCCTCGGACACTCTACCTAAGGAGCTATCGCCTTTCCAACTCTCACAAGCTGAGGCTCCTGGACACCTTTACCCAACTGGAACGATCCATCGACACCACATCCTCAACAAACTACCCCTAACTCCCACTTGAAGGGTTTCAAACCACCTCACACCCCACAGTCACATATCGTAATCATCAGTCTAGTTACCTTCACAATAATCACTCGCGATCATCAAACCAATCTCCGCTCTCCACTCTCCAATCTCCAATCTCACATTTTGTCCAGCAATCTTCAGGTCTCGATATCGCGAGACACCGCGAGGATCCACGAAACCATGTCACAAGTGGCGCCCAGCGTCCCCGAGGGCGTCGAACGCGAAGGACGCGGGACAGGACTTCGTCGCGGGAAGACTCGACGGAAACTTGACGGAGTCGGACGGAGCACTGCCAGGAATAGACGAAACGGAGTCGTCGTACGTCGACGTATTCGAGTCGTGGTGGTGTAACGTCCGCGCGTCGGCCAACGCACGTACACCAGGGAGCCGCGTTCTCAGATTGAGCTTAACTGCTCGATTGAGCTTGGAGGATAACACCCCGTGGACAAGCGTGCGCGGCGTGTGTCGCGGTATCGGTGACATAATTGAGGCATTCACGTGACAGGCCTCTTTTCTTCCTCTATTCTCGCTTAGACAGCGCCTGGGAGCGCTGGTTCCGCTGGCTGGAACTGGACGAGACCTTCAATGGAGGATTTGGGATTCGGAGTGGGTAGAGTACCTTGCACTCTGAGCGATTCGAACCGTTTGCTCCGAGAGTCGGAAGCTGTGGAAGCTTTTGATATTTTTGCTGATCAAGAAAATTTGATGTGTCTCTGGATGAGACCTTCACAGATGATTCTGGAATTCTGGGATTTAGATTACCTTGCAGTCGTACTCTGAGTACTTGGAATGTGCTTAGAACTGTCTGTTTTGGGAGTTAGAAGCTATCGAAGTTTTTAATACTTTTGCATATTAATAATTTCGATTGAAAATTTAATGATTATGTGAAAAGGATCGTATCCATGGAATTTTCATTGTTGTTTTTACTCAGGATCCATTCTCCATGTCAATTTGAATCGAAAAGTCCTCTTCCGTTTCACAATCCGAGGCTTCGTTACCGAGATACGAGCAGTTGAAGCTTCCAGACGCGTGGACGCATGCGCAGCGACCAGCTGACTGGAGATAGAAAATGGCGCGCACCAAGAATCACACCATCAAATTTAATTCATTTATATCTAAGCGAAAGTAGTCCAGATTGAAAAATGGTAAAGGACTTTTCGATTTCATTTCTCGCGAGGAATGGATTAGTTAATTTAAAAGGCCTATTGGTTGTGTTCTGGAACGCCATGGTAAACTCAGTAGAATGAAAGAACATCTGAAAGGCTACATTTAGGATGGAGCTTCGATCGAATCGATAAAATACATATACTAGACATTCTGTTCTTTCATAAATTTTATCAGTATTTTTTCGTCTTCTAGAAATACCAAACTAATCGACTAATAGATAAATTAATATACTAAATTAATATCTACTGTGCCCCTCGCCGCTCAACTTACATATTTCTCGTCGAGCTGTAGAGAGAATTTCCCCAGTCGCATTATTCTCAATTCCAAAATTTAGACATAATGGAGGATACGGTGCAACGTCGAGTGTTTAATAGTTTCCTACCACTATAACATGACGAATAGTGGCGAAACAGGACACCTGACTACGACGGAGCTTCGTTTCGAACTGCGACCTTAACGAAATCAATAACTTCTGGTTACCATTGCGTGGCAGAGCCCGCTAGCACGATTCGGTCGAGGTTTGGAACGAATAAGTAATGGAACAATGCTATGAATAAGTTATGGAATATAGATTAAAATTTTCATAGCGACTGGAAGGAAACCGAGGTAAGAAAGAATAAAGGGGGGTTCTCAACCACCTTGGATTTTATCCATTCATAATACAAACTTATCTAATAAATACTTGCTAAACATAACCAAATTGTAATGCAATGAAAATGTAATGGAAAATGAAGTAACAATGTTGCTAAAATAATTGCAGAATATATTCAACATACATGATGTATATTTTATACATGTGTTCTAAATCATTGTACGTCATAAATGCATAAAATCCGCAGCCTAGTGATCACAAAGGACAACTACCCCCAACAGAAAACCTAACAGAGCTCATTAAAACTCGTCATCCATTTCATTCATTTTCTTATACTTTTTTCTAGTCACACAGTTTCCCATGGCCATCTGTTTCCCATAACCTCTGGCCAGAGCATTATGTAAACCAGGCGTTGACGCGATTCTCGAGTAGAACAGACCACCCCTTATCCGCGCTGACGCAGCTAAGACCGCACGAGGCTTATCAAAGTATTTTAAGTTGCCCTTTCGCGCTTCGATGACGCGTTAAATCGCTGTTATTTCGAATCGCACGATGGACCAGGTTTTCCTCGTGTACGTCGTGTCTAAGAAAAGAAACACTCGACGTCTGAAATTTAGCGAGACGGTTAACACCCGCGATCGAGACAGATTTATTACCGAGAGATCGATAAAAATGTGTTTCCCACTTGGTTTTGAAGTACAATAAAATGCCGTAGAGTTTGTGTTCAATCTCCGTTAAATTTGTATAGTCTACGGGCGCTACTAGCTCCTTGATTTCTAAGAAATGCGTTTATCGAGGTCCTACTATACCGACTGAGTTTCGAAGGCCGTCGATCAAGTAGATATCGATATCAACGTGAAATCTAAGGTAAAAGGGATCTAAAAAAAGTTCGAGGGGAATAAAAAAAAAGAAACTCACATTCCACCCCATGGATTCCGCCAAGAAGTTCGTAGCGAGCTCGTTCTCATCCCTGTCGCTGTCTGTGTCCAAAAGCGCCTCGACTGGCTCCTCGATGCTCTCCTCCTCGCTCATGTAGTCCTCTTCCTCCTTTTCCTGAGCGTCATTTCTCTTCCTAGGAAGCGGACCTTCCGCCTGCTCCTGTGCACGAACCCTTTCGGCCAACAGCGTGCCGAGATTCTCGAAGAATCCTCCATCTGACTCCTGTATTCTGCAAATCGAACATCAACAGTTGATCCTCGCGGAAATTGCCGATTTATTTAAAACCGAAGCCGTTTTTAGTAGCATTTCTTTCATTTCCAAAGCAGCGAGCGATTGCAAAAACAAAGGAAGACATGTTAGGAAAGTTAGGTTAGGGAAGAGATGACTATTGCGATCACTCGATGAAATCATGAAGAAGACGAGAAGAACTGAAGACACGAAGAATTCTGCGCTGAAAAGATGAGAGCATCAATCGTGCTAGAGCAATGCTCAGTTGGATTCCAGCCCCGATGCCATATTAATTCGACGCCATCGCGTTGGCGTGCAAGCGGTGATTCTCCGACTCTGATCGATTCCGCTAAGTGCGTTAAGAAGCGTGTTAATCGAAATCATTGAGAACTGTAATTGTCGATTTGCACGCGCTACGGTGTGTTTAGAACACTGTTCCATCTTATTGTTAGACTCGTATTTTTCCACGGTAATTATTACGTTTGAAGTACTGAATAATTTGTTATTATTCAGAACTGTTTTTCCAGAAACCTGCAAGCATCAGGAACGCTTACGCGATTCTAAGTAAAATTCTCAGTTAAATATTTACATTAAAATTGTCATAATTGACATTTATACGTATGTCATGTTCGTTTAGAAATGTATTTTCTTTTACTTTATTTTTAAAATTCGTTTTTCCACGAGTAAAATGTTTACATTGAAATCCTCATAAATAACATTCGTACGTATATTACGTTAATTTAGAAATATATTTTTTTAGAACATAGTCCATCTTAGGTATTATAATTCGTTGCATTTACCTAAGAAAGCGCCTAACTCCTAAGCTTTTATAGCGAGCGCTGTGCATGTCACGTATAATTAGTGAAACACGCCTTCTACCTTTTGTTAACGAAGTTGTGCGCTGCAAATTTCCAGTAGAATCTCGCGACGGTCACCGGTTTTGTTTCCGGGTTTTGACACATTCGAGCTGCGGCGATAGCGTAGTAAGGATGCATCTCGTCCAACTTTTCGAAGTGCGCCATTTTTCCACTACCGCTGTATTCCCCCCAAAAAAAGAAAACACGAAACACGTGACTTGAAACGAGAACTCGACATCGTTTAGCCTTGGAGGGTGAACGAAGCACTGTATAATTGAGGTTAGGTTCGACGGAAACCTAACCTTGAATGAATAATATTTTTTTTTTCTCCAAAATTAAGCATCGATCAGGAAACTGCCGGCTTAATCGCTTTAGTGTAATTGGTGACGTGTGATGAGTCGTGCGAACCATGCGCATCATGCATTTAAATGGCGATTAATTAGACGTCTTTATCGCTTACGGATGTATGAACAGTTTACACAAGGTGTAGTTAAAGTATTCGAAGGTGAGAATAATGGTAGGTATTTTTTTTTTCTGTCGACAGCCTTGGAATAATTTAACTTTGCCCCAAATACTTTCTCATGCATTCATAAACAACGTGGTCGTTTATGTGCTCCCATTTAAATGGTCCATCCTGTGTATACATGACTGCAAAGTATATTTTACGTGTAACTGATCATCCTGCCTCTTTTACAAACTCAGTTTCCATTGTCCCAGTTACCACAAGCTATGTATAAAGTATTATATAAGATTGACATGAATCGTGACCTCCAAATTTCAATAATTATGATAAAAACCGATTTCAAAATATTAAAATTCAAGTCAGAAATGAAGGTATACTATTGTACGATGGAAAACGATCATCACCTATAATTTCTTCTATAATTTTGAATACGTATTTCGAGCCACTGCACATAAACTCTAATATATCGTCATGTTCACTTCACTTTTTATTTAAACACGATTCACTTGACGAGGAACGCAATGTGGACAAGAAAACGTGTCGTTCGAATCATGTCTGCATGCGAACTGCGGAGGTAGCAGGATATTAGTAAGAAACCATCACTGTGTCTACAAACTTTCCCACGCTTTGGGCGCGTCACGTGTATGCGAAAAAAAAAAAATGGGAAATCTGCGCAATTATGAGTATGATAAATAAATGACGTTAGATAACTTGGGAATCGAGCGTGGAAACGTTGAGATAGGTGTAGATTTCTCACGACGTTTAAGGTCGTTGCAGCAGTATATTACGATATGAATTTTTGTGTAAAAAATCGTTGAAAATGGAACGAACGAAAGTTTCCATCCGAGTACGATTAACAGAATTAATAACGGTAGATTCGAGTTCTCCTTTCGTTTGTTTTCCGAAGTCACCGAGTCTCAATTTGTTTTGATCGAAAAGGAACCAACGCCATCTTGAATTTCTTCTTTTAGCGTCGATACATCTTTCTTTATCTGGATCTCTTTTATTTTGAAACCAGAAGAAGACGTGATTCACCGAATCGCATTCCATGCTGGTGCACAACAGTGGATCGGCTCTCTAAACATGTTTCTTTGCTTGCTCTCATTTTCTGCTTTGTATTGCTTGTACTTTCGCAAATGCGTCAAGTTTCGATGGTCTAATTAAGGAATAATGCCCGGGTTAGCACGGGTTCCGAAGCAAAATAACCGTGAAACTAATTCGAAATCATGCTTGTGTGTCCCGTCATACCAAAGTAAGATGTGCCGCAACATGTAGAATCTTACGTTCGTAATGTAACCTCAATGTCGTTCGAGGAGAGATAGAAAGTCTAGACAGGATATCTGCACATTTGAATTTCTGGCTATCTGAAACTGGAGTGTCTCGTGAGCAAGAAGACGAAGGTTTATAGTGATGTAAGCCAGGAGCGACCTTCGGTGCTCTCGACCGTTTCGAAACGAACTCGAACCGACTCGGTCCGCCTCTGCTCGCGTTAATCTCCGCAGTCGCCTTATTTACGTTCGTGTTTTCACATGCTCGCGTCGGAGATCGTTCACAAGAACAAGTGTGAAAACACTGGGCACGATTAAACTCGTGGAAAGTGAAAAAATAAAAATACCAATATAAACATCTTATAAATATAGAATACGTTTCTCATTATTGTTGTAGTAATAATATTGATTCCTGTCAAATTTTTAATTTTTTAATTGTAGTAATAGTTTGTAAATATAGAGTACGTTTCTCGTTACTGTCGTAGTAATATTTAGATACTTTTCAGACACTTATTTTTAATTATATCGAAAATATCAAAGAACTATAATTATAATTACCGTTGCCTTAAGTGGAACATGTAGAGTAAATTTTCTTGGAATAAGCCTGAGGCGACTAGATTTATCACGAAGCGACCCAATTTTCTCTGTCGTCTTAGAATTCTTAAGCGTGGATGTATTACTCATCTACACATATCCAACCGTTCAAACATAAATTCTCGATCATGCGGGACATTCACCTACGCGTGAATATCTCAAGTTCCTCCATTTTCCTTATTAGCGTCTCGGTAGCCAGGAAAAAAAGGGGAATTCCCGTCTAGTTCGCTGCTAATCGTTGACCCGTGGGACTAACGTCGACGCGTGGCGAAAAAGTTGTTGAATCAACGTTCGATTGTTCTTACGATTATTCATAATTACTCGAGGAAAAGGAAACAGACCGTGAACCGTGTTTATCGGAATTGACAACAGCGTTTGTTTACAAGCCTGTGTCGATACAAAGATTTTCCATAAATAGAGGTTAGGATCTGTTATTTATAGATACTGAATAATGCAAGCGTGCAAGGCGGAACTGTTTAAAATTTTGTTCGAGAAATATCGTGTCATATTTATTCATCGAAAACATAATTTTCTAGACACGAGAGGGGTCAGGTATCGATGATGGCGATCCGAAATTTTCGTCCATTTGGTAGGAAGAGGAAAATATAAATTTCATATATTTTCGGTTTGACTTTGACCAATTTAAAGACAGCGAAAAAAAGTTCGTTTTATCAACTACGTTAGGCTCATTGACAGCCACATAACAGCTGAGACATCATAAAAGAATTAATTAGCAGCTCGTGCACGTCCCCACCGCTTGGTATCCGTTTATGGAGGTCGCTCGGAATGTAAGTCTTGTTAGTATACCGCGTGCTTCTTCGGAAGTCGTGCGCACGCGACGAAATCGTCGCATTCCGATTTTCCCCGAGTGTTTTATCGCACGTGACATCAACTGATTAGCGCCACGGACACATTTGTAACACTGAAATCGGCCCTATTATACTTTACGTAATTCCTGTCCGGTCTAAACATATATTTACTAGGTTAATTAAGCAGGCTGTTTTAATCGACGACAATTGTTTTCATAGTGGAAGGGTTATTATTCATTTCACGTTCTTGCTTTAATTAATGGAAATAATAAAGTTTCTTATACATTTTTTTAATATGGTGGATAAACTCATTGATAGATTATATTTATGCATTTATGGCAAGTGAAAATATGACTAAGTATATGAGAATGTACACGAATTCAAAAATACGTAAAATATGAATTTGCATAAACATTCACATTTTACTCGCTAGCAATAAATAAACTGAAGATAAAAATTGCCGAATAATACTTCCACCTGCAAAAATGTATAAAATATCAACAATTACACGTTAAACTGTTCAGGAGATAAATACATCCATACATCCAGGACATACATCCATTTAAATTTTCATTATTCATACGAATCGATAAAAATATGAATTTGCATAAACATCCACGTTTTACTCGCTAGTACTAAGTAAACTGAAGATAAAAATTCCCGAATAAAACTTCCATCTGTTATGTGTAATTTCATAAATGACACTCGATCCATCGTTTCCTAAACATGGCGATCGGCAAGTGCCTAATTTCCAAACACGAGATCGATCGATTAAATAGCGCCCGATGAATCATGGAACCGTTGACCTTGGGCCATGGATCTCGAGGAATCGTGACGCGCGCAAGTTACGTATTCCCGAATGACCTGGAGATGCAACTCCTCCGCAGATGTTTCCCGTACACGCGTTAGTCTCGTTTTATTAATAGCACGTGCAAGCGGTGCATCCGACCGCGTTGCTTTGCATAGCAACGGTCAAAGTGCATACAGCGAAGGAAGGGGTAAGGTGCTGTTTGGCGGGAATTCGAACGTGAAAGTTCCTCGAGGACGGTCACGTGACTTTCTAGTCTAGTAGTTCTAGCGAAACGGTGACTAATGGTATGCGGCAGAGCAAATAACTTCCTTGGAGGACTTCCTCAGAAAAGATAAGTTACGCGCTCCCCTCGAAGAAGACAGGCGACAAAGACAATCTGGATGAAGTCACCTGTTACATTTTCATCTCTGACTCCTGCATCGGTAATCACAGTGAGTCATAACATAGACTCAGTGGCGACCATGTATCTCTGTTCCTTAGACACTGGATCCAAATTTCGAAACATTTAGGTTAAGTAAATTGTGTATCGCTTGCATCTCATTAAATTCGTTCGAAGTGTATTTAAAATTGTTATTTGATAATAAAAAGTATTTCATTCACGAAATGAGAATACTCAAATCCCGAATAAAAGCTTCAGAACCTCGTCTCCCATAATTCCCAAAAAGCCCCAGGAAAACACGACAAAAATTCTCGTACAGGTGCATTAGTATTAGATGCCCTAGGTCACTTACACGATCGTCACCGAATTACACGCAAGCGGTTAGTCGCAAGTGGTTGCAAGTTAGGTCACAAATCCTCGTACGCCCTTGGAGAGCCGACCCCCATAGGCGTCGCTACCTTTTCTCGTGCTCGGTTTTCTCCTGATTTTCCTTTTCTTTGGTCTCTTTCTCCTCCACGATCTTCTGATAGAAACCTTTCCACATCGCCTCCTCGTCCATCCTGGCTGACTTCTTCACGCCCAGGTAGAGTTACGACATCCTCAACAACACTTTCTACCGCTGAAACGTCACTGCGCCTCTCGTAGCCGGCTACGCACCGTCCGTCTCGTGCCTCGGAGATTTTCGCGCAACACAAACAAGGAACGACGTTAACGCCGGTAGGTCAGCTCGAGGCAAACGGTGTAGTCAATAGCAAGGCGCTGCGCCAATTCAATCGTGATTGCGTCTTCAGCCGCCAGATGGCGGATCCTCACGGATGCTGCGTCCATTGCATCCTTTAACCTAATTCTTTTCTTTATATGTATTATAAAATCTAACTCGAGTCGGTGGGATGCTTGAAAATAGTTTTGAGGATTCGATGTATATTCATTGTATATGTATGTTCATTGTTATAGATGTTTTACAGGACCGTTGTGGGTTTTTAAGTTCCGAGGCTTCGAGTTCTGTAAGTTCTGCATTTTAGCTCGAGTAGTGGATTAAGGAGATCCATCATTGCGATGACATCTCGAGGTGCGCTCTTCGAGGTGTGCCAGTAGAAGAGTAGAAGTAACTGAGATGGTTTCAGCGAATTCCTGTGAGTGTCGTTGGCACTTGAGTTATTAGTTTCACATTATTTACATGTAGAATTGATTTTTGTAGATTTTTCAGGTGCGGATGTAACGCGTTGTTTAATGTCCTGTCCTATACGCAAGCGTAGGTTCGCCATTTTCTTCATTAGGGACGCGGTCTACCTGCCCACGCCGCCATTTTTATTTTGCGCCGTGCATACAGTTATACTTTGATACATTTTAATTATATCAGATCAAATTTCTGTATGAATATTATCAGAGGACAGGAATTATAATTAATAACTAATATTTAGGCACTGGAGTATTCGACTCTGGATAACAGGAAGAAAAAGAAGCAAAGGCGCAGAGGATGACAAAATTCCATTTCACGCAATCTTTGTTTCTATTTTTACGGTTTCACCTCATATTTCCTGGACGTTATCTGGCGTTACTCACTTTTATTGTGCTCCTTTATCTTTGGCCAATATTTTTCCACGGATGCTGTCGCGGAACAATATTTACGAACGCCTCCGGCTCTAAAAATCTTTGTCACGCGTGACAAAGCGGCGCAATATTTCAAATCGACCTATCGGAAACGACTGGACCGCCGGTAGAATAAAAATATATATAGCAGAGGCAATTCAGCGAAAATGGAAGAAACTGGAGAAACGCGCTACGTCCGCCATGCTTCTCAAAACCACCCTCCTACTAATTCTAGGTAAGAATAAATAAAAGCACCTACGACAAGGATTCTTTAATTGCTACTTCTTTTAAACTGCATACAGGCGTCGCCACACGATTATCGATTTCCCAACGCCTCGATGGAAACGATTCCATCCTTCCCCTGACAAATGTGCGAAAGGAGCCCAACGAAAACTTCGTGCTGGTCAATCCAAAGCAAGTGCAGCCTCTGGAGACGACGATTCGTCGCTTCCTGTCCAGGGTGGCCACGCCTGTGAAGAGACCTATCGTGCTTCGATCCAAGAAGAACGATCTCCAATCGACCATTCGAGAAATGTGCGACTCCGTGCGCAAGAGACTAATGCAATTTGCGAATGACTGCGGACTGACGACCACTGTTAGAAGATACGAACAGGATCCGAATAACGTTTCGCTCTCCGAGGACTGGTTCTCCGAGGTTTTGCTACAGGGGGCGTACCTCCTGCGCGATCTAGGGGGCATGATCAACGAGATCGAGGGCGGAATCGATCAGTATGTTGGAGAACGCAATACTACGCATGGTATCAAGGTAGATCCGTGAGATTTTAATCAAACTTTACTTGATTGTTGTTAAATTCGCCACGGCAGTTTTGTGAGAACAATTTTGTAATTTTAACACAGATTCTTATCCCTTAAAGAGCCCTTACGGAGTTTGTTCAATTTAAATCGAAATGCATATTTGGGAAGTTGCTGGAAATTTTATATGCTATAAAAGCTGAAATTGTGAACCATTTAAAAAAATTTAACAATCATTGACCGTACCGTAACTGAAATAAAATTCATTAAAATCTGAAACCGAAGGAGGAAATAGTTCTTTAAAAAAGTTTCTCCCTTAACTCCTTGTTACTCTGAGTTTCTGAGTAAAGGTTTCATAAAATAATTCCCCCTCCAGAAACCATTCGAAGAAGATGGCCTCCAGTTCCTGGGTGTCGTGTACGACACAGCAGACTTTGGCGACAGGCTATCGCAGTGCCTCATGCAGATGACGAGCGAGGGCTACAGAAGACCCTTCAACCTCAACCAAGCTATCTTGGAAATCAGCAAGAACCCGCCAGGAATCGCTTTGCAGACTTTAAAATCCAACTTGGACAAGGCTTTACTCAACGATTCGAATAGAAATCGACGCCCACGAAGGTCCTGGAGAGTCTACCTCTGTCACGCTATTATTAAGGGCGAAGGACTCCGTTTGGAGGATTGCATGCGCGAGCTGCAGGGCCTGGAAAGGTGTCTGCATGGGTTGCAACAACGTTCTCGGGGTAAGGAGAAAGCTGGCGAGAGGAGCTCGTGGTCGAAGGCGATCCAACGGTTGAGCGATTGCAAGGTCCGGGTGGACGAGCAGGGGAAGGTACTGGTGTCCTGCAAAGCCAACCGTGGAACGGCTAGGACGATCAAGCAGAAGATGAGGTACGTGTTCGAGAGGATCCTGGATAAGAAGATACCAAGACGGTCGCCACTGCATAGGGCTGCCAGTGATCTTGGCGAGAGTTTGTCTGGGAGCAGGTTGGGACGCAGGTTCGTCGACGAGCTGTATCAGTGCTTTGGGATCTACGACGATGGCCTGAGGAAGCTGAAGAGACTGGAGGCTTCCAAGGCGAAAGACAAGGCGGCTGTGGCGAGGTTAGATAGAATTACCATTAGATATATCGTTGTTTCTGATAGATCTTCAGGAATAGAAATCGAAACTTTACCTAAAAATCAGAAGGTTTGAGGGTTTTAATTTAAATGTTGGCTTCCGTCCAGGCGCAAGGAAATCTCCAGAGCGCTATGGGTTTACAAACGGGGAGTATTCATGAGAACATTTGGCGCCATTGGGAAAATGCATCGTTCTGCTACCGGGCTGGAGACGTTCCTCGTGAAAGGGATCACTGTGGCCCTCAACGAGACCTGGCAGAGCCATGTGAAGATTCTGTCCAGCATGATAGAGTGGATGACCAAGCTTATGGAGCTTCACGTAGTTGGAAATGGTGGAAACGGGCAGACGGTGTTGGAATCCAGCGTGGAGGTTGAAGAGTCGAACGAAGACGAAGATTCCAATATGGAGGAGAGTTCCGAGGACCAGTGGGGACGGACTTTGGCTCGATCCAAAACTGGTTGGCACAATTTCTCGACGTTTTCGTATTTAAATCAAATTTTATGACATTTAGAAATCAGAGTTCTCCTTAGAAATCATAGTATCCTTTATGAATTAATTTAAATTGATGTTGCAGAGATTATGAAAATGGCGGACACCTCCATGAAGGACTTAATGGCGACCATGAATCGCGTGAGCCGACAGAAGAGCTCTAATAACACAAGCATGCTGGCGAGCCTGGCGAATAATCTTCTACTGGTCACGATGTTTATGGAAACCATGGGTTTCGTTTCCACTTTGTTCTGCTTTGGACAAGCCAATAGCGAGGCAAATTCCATCATTTCTGACGACCGGTGGGAACGCACGCGTCGATCGCTGGTCTCTTTGGATGAACGAGAAGATATCGAGTTATCTTCAGAGGATCGTTTGTTACTTGAATTTTATGAAAATAAGACGACGGTGGTCCTCAAACGTTAAAAAATTAACTCTCCAAAATGTAGAAATGATGCAACTTCTGGTGCTTGGGAAAATTGTAGTCGAGTGTAAATAATGAAAATAGAAATCCAATCTTGTGTATCTCATTGTAATTTACTGATGTATTTACCGAATAAAGAAATAAAAATTATTCTCTCTGTAACTAATTGTTTCTTTTTTTATCAAAGATATTTTATAAATATTTTTTCCGGATTTGCTCCAAGTATTTCTTGCGATTTATATAATCATGACGTTTGAATTTAATTTTAATCGTGTTTATTATATAAACATCAAAACATTATCAGTGATACATAAAGGAATAATAATTTAATTAAATTTCCCTTCTGGGATTGTAGATATATTCTCAATATTTTCTCCGTTACTATTAATTTATTATCAAAATCAATTATACACAACTATACTTTTTAACGATGCCATAAAGATCCACCGTAAATCATTGATACCGTTTTATACATTACATTTTGTAACGTGACCAAGGTACTTGCAGATATCGTTGGCAATAAATTTTGCAGATACATTCAAAACAAAAAAAATTCCCAGAATGGATCGCTGCGACTTTTACAGCTTCCGCAGATGCAGAGCGTTCGAGTTTGTCGCATTTGTTCAACATATTCGCCCCGGGAAGTAAATAGAATGCGCGTGGGAGCAGCAATTCTCTACTTAACGTGTAAGCATTACTTATCCTGCCCAATTGAGTCTTTAATTTATTTTTTAAGCAACATAAAATTTTGTTCCAGGTCTGGCGATATCGTCGTACATCGAAAATGTCTCTTGCATGGCCAATACAAAAATAATTGGAGGACGAGCTGTACATATAAGACAGCGACCATTCATGGTACAATTAATTTATTTCTTTATATATTTGTATTTGATATTTTTATATTTATAATAATTTCCAGCTATCTTTGCACAATTCTCAAAAAATTCATTCATGGTAATTAATTTATTTCCTCACATACCTGTATCTAGTATTTGTTAATTAACAATAATTTTCAGTTGTCTTTGCACAATTCTCACGGCTTCGTATGCGGCGCCAGCATACTGTCCCGAAAATGGGGAATCACCGCCCTCCACTGTGTGTAAGTTTCACGGTCGGCGCCATATTAACTTCGTTTTTCGCGTAGCACATGTGCGTGTCGTTTAATTAACGATCGTATTGATTATTCAGGATTTCAGAGGGGATAACCGATTATTACGTGCGAGCCGGGTCGAACACGCCTTACGGGGGATCGTTGCATAGGTTCACGAAGGTGTACGCGTACAACGACACCACGTTTCCGTATTGGTTTTCCAGTATGTTCCATCACGACATCGCCCTCTTCAAAGTGTGGCCGAATTTTCGTTTTTCGAGCTCGGTTCGACCTGTTCGATTGCCGAGCGAGTTCAGCCAACCGCCTCCTAAACTGTACGTTTGTGGCTGGGGTTACATTGATTTTCGAAGCGATGGCGACGTGAGTATCTTTCTTCTTGGTCAGTGTGCTTCGAGGGTTCGGAGTTCAGATTTATCCAGAAATTTCGTTTCCGAATCGCACAATTTTTTACATATTTATTGTTACTAATTTTTTGTTTATTATTGAGGCATTGAGACACTTTTTATTATTACTATTATTAGGCAATAGTCAGCAGGGTCCTGATGGGTGTTTACGTTCGTCGCACGCCATACGAAATCTGCATAAACGAGGCACCGGAGTACAAGCTACTCGTGAAAGAAGAACGACACATCTGCTACGGACAACGCGGAAAGGATTCCTGCTATGGAGATTCCGGAGGCCCTTTGGCTAGCAGAAACACCATTTACGGCGTGGTATCTTTCGGCCAAAAATGTGGCGTAGTGTCAGGGGTTTACGCCAGAGTCTCCTACTATCGAAGCTGGATTAAGCGAGTCACGAAATTGTAAGTGACCAACGAAGGAAAAGAAATAGAACCATCGTTTTTAAAAGTATACATTGTAAATATTTTCTCGATGTGTATTCGTGGGAAATAAATTTAATAGATATGAATTTAAGGGCACAGCATTAAAGAAATAAAGCTACTGTTTTAAAAAGTGTATATGGTAAATATTTTCTCGATGTGTATTCGTTGAAAATAAATATGATAAATATGAATTTAAGGGTACTGCATTAAAGAAATATTATAACTATTAAGAAACTATTATAACTATACTATTATAATACTATTATTACTATTAAGAAACTGTTATAACTATACTATTACGATACTATTATTACTATTAAGAAACTATTATATAATACTATTATAACTATTGTTTTAAAAAGTGTATATGGTAAATATTTTCTCGATGTGTATTCCTTGGAAATAAATATAATAAATATGAATTTAAGGATACTGTAGTATCGCACAGATAAAATTGTCTGAGTTAATTAGTGATGCACACGTTACGGAAGATATGGAAACAATGGTTTCCAGGAAAGACAGAAAGCCGTGACGAATGGGCAGCGTGGACCCCGTGTTCAGGTTCGATGCACACAGGAAGTCCATTACGCACGTTCTGCGCAAGATCCTGCCGCGCACACGGACACACGGCGCACGTACCGTGTACTTAGGGCTGAATGAAGTTCGAGGCCCTCGGGTAATACGTAATTACTTAGAAACTATTGTGCACGTCGCTTGATAATATCGACACGCATAACCATCGGCGAGGGAATCACCGTTTTCGATGAAAACACAACGTGAATAAGAAGAGACTATCCTGGTGCAATGCTAATATCGTTTTTTAATTACTTTTTTAATTAACGAGGATGTCGTTCAAGAATCTTCCCTTCTACGATTAACAATTGTTATCCTCGTTATTAAACCGTTAATACTGGTACGAAACCTAACTTCAACTTTTATCTACCACGAATACTATTTCAATTTGTTTCATTTTGTGGAGATATTTATTAATTCCGCCAATTTGGTCAATTCTCTGGTTATTATTTGCCAATTGACGCGACGTCTACGTCTTTCGAATTACAGTCACGTGACCGTCCACGTGTTAAGATGGCGGTCACGTTGGAAATCTCGCCCGCCTCGATTTTAAATCTCGAGGAATAACTTAAGCATTCCGTGGAGGGAGCTTGCCCGGTGGTTCGTTTGTTATTGTATGACGGTGCGCACGCGAGGGTTACACCAGCTCGCTGTCATTTAGTCCCATGACTCACCCAGACAGGTTACCCTACCTAACCACCGGCTCTTCCACTATTGTGCCGAGGGTCTTTAAACTCGCTGGCCACGTGCAACGCGAGGTGTCTTCGTAGCAGACCGTGAGAAGTCCGCTATCACTAGGAACACATCCGTCTCTTTATCATTAAGCTAGATAAAGACCTATTCGTCTAGATCAGAGCTCGGTCTGGTGTACCTCAAACCATTTTTTTTCCATTCAGGGAAAAATGAGACGTTCTCATTTGCTCCGATTGCGCAAAATTCATACTTTTAACAAAACAAAAACCTGTTGATCGAGTAGGGGTGATACTCACCTCACCACCACTTCGGGGCAAACCTTGTTCTGCATGCTCTTCAGCATCTGGCGCCTCAGCCTCACGAACCACGCGCTGGTGCACTTAGGGCTGCAGTAATCCAACGACGCACTGTCCACTGTCGCGTTGTCCGCGACATCACCGTGATTCACGATTACCCAATCCAAATTTGGAAACACTGGCAGCTCTTCGGCGCCGACAGTGATCCATGGTTGAACGGAATTTCTGAAGAATCCTTGGGAAAGGTTGGCGCTCACAGGGCGCTCCTTACCCGATCGAACCGAATTTCCCGGGCAGAGATCGGGCTCGTCGTCGGTCATTATCGATATATTACGATTCTCTAAGTACTTCTCTCTGTAGATGATCGAATCCACTGGTTTCTCTTTATCTGGAACCTTTTCGAAATTCGAGGTGACTGCACGTCTTCTTCGACGACGCTTCAACTTCGCCAATCCGGTTAACATCGCACCTGATTGGAGCAATTAACGTGCACGCGATCACCACACGACTTTGCCATGTATCAGTCCTTTAAATGTTTATTTGAATCGTTATTCAATGTGACACATTGCCTGTTTGTACAGCACAGAAGTGTTGCATTAGCAGACGAGTTCGATGGACATGTGCTTGTTTATGCTATCGACAAAGCAACGGCGCCCCATGTGCGCCTGGCACAGGAAAGAGCGAAACTGAGGAAAGACTGTAAATATTCACAGAGTGAGACGGCGATAGGTGACTATGAGCCCATGACCACAGGGAAGGGGCACCAGAGATTGTCCCTCGTGTGTCTCATGCAGAAATCCCCCATTCGACGTCAGTTCTGTTTTTTATTACGATTAGCATGAATGAATGAGGAAGTATCCAAACATAAATATCTCTAATGAGCTGTTATTACTTGCTGGAATTACTTGACAAGATTGTTGGCAGACTTTTCCTGATAGTAATGTAGAACATATCTAATGTTTTATCCTTTTTAATAAGGAAGAATTGGAGAAAATGTCTTAGGAGTGGGAATGATTTAATTAAGTTTTTAGAAGTAGTCATCTGGCCTTAATAAACCAAGCCAAATGTTTATTTTGACTGTACTTGTATATTTGGATATTTCTGTGTGGCTATATTTCTGTGTTCTGTGTTACTATATTTCTGTGTTTTTATGTTACAGTGTTTCTATATTTCTATATCTTTATATTTTTATATTTCTATATTGCTATATTTCTATATTTCTATATTTTTATATTTTTATATTTTTATATTTTTATATTTTAATATTTTAGTATTTTAATATTTTTATATTTTTATATTTTTATATTTTTATATTTCTGTATTTTTATATTTTTATATTTCAATATTGCTATACTGCTATATATTACTGCATTTCTATTATACATTTCTATATTTCTATATTTTTATATTCCTATATTGCTATACTGCTATATTCCTGCATTTCTATTATACGTTTTTATATTTCTATATTTCTGTATTTCTGTATTTCTGTATTTCCATATTTCTATATTTCTATATTTTTATATTTTTATATTTCTATATTGCTATATTGCTATATTACTATATTCCTGCATTTCTATTATACATTACTATATTTCTATATTTTTAAATTTCTATATTGCTATAATGCTATATTCCTGCATTTCTATTATACATTTCT